TGATCCTGGAGTCCCGGGATCGAGTCCCGCATCGGGCTCCCTGCTCGGCAGGGAGTCTGCTTCTCCTTCTGACCCTCCCCTCTCTCATGTGCTCTCTCTCTCCTCTCATCCTCTCTCTCAAATAAATAAAATCTTAAAAAAAAAAAAAGATAATGGAGGGAAAAGAGGAAACATGGCTGTTGGCAATCTCAGCGACTCTGTAGTACTTAACATTGTTCAATAAACCTAATAATCTTCATGGACTAATTCTGACTTATGGATGTCCTACTTCAGTAAATCAGGGTGATTTTCTCTAGTGAATAATAGACGAGTGTAGTATGCCAGTACCTTAATTAAAGAGTAGCTCTCTTAGTCTTGATCTCATTTTAATTTACAGGGTAATACTACAATAATATCACTAATGGAAGGTACATTAAAGGGCATCAAGTAGCATTAACTGTATTAAATTATGGTACTTGTGTTAATTAACTGCTGCAGCAAGATGGTTCTAATGGCCAAAAAGGTTGTCTAATGCATAAATAAAATCTACCCAGATGAGGGGTGAGAGGAGAAATGAAGCGTAGATATTTGTTCTGAACTTCTTTTTATACAGACAGAGAGTTCAATTCATAGGCTGTTAAATATAGATAATGTCCAAAATGTTTTCCTAGTTACACAATTGGAAGTTTTGATTTTTAAATGTTTTGTTTCCTTCTAAGCTTTCCATAATTAAATCAATTGAAAAGCTGAACACTATCTTTGTCAGATGCATAGATTTCATAACTCAGCATTTTTTATTGTTTTTTATTGTTTCTTTGAGATGAACATTTTCAAGGAAGTAATGTGATTTATTGTAATAATTGTTAAATCTATGGGGCGCCTGGGTGGCTCAGTTGGTTAAGCGACTGCCTTCGGCTCAGGTCATGATCCTGGAGTCCCGGGATCGAGTCCCGCATTGGGCTCCCTGCTCAGCGGTGGGTCTGCTTCTCCCTCTGACCCTCCTCCCTCTCATGCTCTCTGTCTCTCATTCTCTCTCTCGCAAATAAATAAATAAATAAATCTTAAAAAAATAATAATAATAATTGTTAAATCTGAAAGACAAATGAACATTTGATAATGTGCTCATTTATCTGTAAGATGTGATACCAGCAATGTATCAGGGTACTGATTTCAGACATGAGATAATAGAAAATCTTTTTCAACCTCAAAAACCTTAGGACAGAATTGTCAGAACTTTTCTCAGGGGCCTAGAAAACTCTAACCCACATCTCCATTACTTGCCTTGTTACACAATATTTCTGAACATAATTATCAATGATTTTTTCTCCGTGGTGCTTATTCATCTCTTACCCTTTGCAGGGCCTACACAAGCACCTCACAGG